TCATCAAAAAGCGAGCGAGGCTCGCTTTCTGACGATGGATGCTTGCGTCTTGCGAGCCGCCACGTGTTACTAATATAATTAGAGGGAAATTATAATCAAATCTTACAGAAGAGAAATAATTACCAAAAAATCTCAATAACAACTTCAACAGTCTATAATAACAAGTCTTATAGTGGAGATGACAACTTTTAGGATTTGTTTTTCAATTATTTTTCTTGCTTGGGACCTCATTGTAATTCTCCCTATAATTATTACGGTTCCAAATTTTAATTTAGTTCAATTGAATGACTCACGTTGAATAGAAAAAATTAGTACTATTTCCTGTATTTAATATAAGAACTCATTTTACTTTTATTTTGATTCATAAATATAAAAATTCAATCCACTTTGTCTCTTATATTTATCTATTTTTTTTCAAGTTAACCTTTGTAATATTGGTAGTTCTAGCCAATACACTTGGTTAGCAAGGATATTTTAAAAAATACAACATCTATTTATTACAGATAACTAATTTAACTAATTTTTTTAATCTACTCAAATTAGTCAACTAATTTTTATACTAAGAATCATAGATAGTATGTAAAATGAATGGAATTACTGTGTGAATGGATGATAATGAAATAGAGCCGCACGGAATGGAGCTGCTGCTAAGAAGTTTCACAAATTACAAAGGAAACTTTGAACTCATGTTGGTGAAGGGTTGAGAATAGGAATTGAACTTTATGAGATCTAATTTCCCTTGTTCCTTGGTAGTTTAGTGCCAAGCCATCAATTTCACAACTCTAAATTAAAGGAAACTGGATCAAAGTTTTATGGGAAATTAAGTTCTAGGCTTCATGCTTGCTAAGTATTCCCACCGTTCCTTATTATAAGAGACAAATAACCGAATTACGTTGATAAAAAAAACAGTGAAAATTAGTTAAGAACAATTAATGTGTAAAAAATATAATTTTTTTCCTAAAAATGCCCTCATTAATAAAGAGAGAGAGCATGAGAGAGAACAATTAAATTATTGAAAGAAAGAGAAGTGGGAAGGGGAGAGAGTGTGAGTTGGAAACAATAAATATAGGTAAAATAGGAAATCAACACAAAAAAGTAGAGATAACTTTTAAGTGTCTCTTATATATAGGAACATGCTATAAGTATCAAATATCTCTTATAATAAGGAATGGAGGGAGTACAATTGTGGAACTAGTATGAATTTTTTTATGAATGAGGATTTGCCAGGAAAAAGGATGTTTAGATATTGTAATATTGTCCATAGAGGATTTATTAAATCTCATCTCCTCATTAGCATAACGATTGATACTATTTTTAATTTTAAAATTTGATCTCATTTTAATTTTAATCTTTAAAATTTAAAACTCGTGGTTTTTATCCTAAGTTTTAAGGATTAAAAATACTGTTTCAGGAGCTAGATGTTTTGAACGAATCAAAATGAAATCAAATTTTAAAACTAAAATCAATGATTTTAAATTTGATAGCACCTATATGATAGTGTGGAGTTATTAGGATGTCAACTCTCGTAAAAGGTGTCTTACTTGTTAGCTATAAAACTTTACAAATGTGATGTGGTTTTGTAGTCAAATGATTCTTTCTTGACAGGCTGGTGTATCCCTCACTCATGTTCATGACATCAGTAGTAGGTTCGCTCCAGGAATCAACGTTATCAACGATGTTTTTAATCTGGCACGGGTTAGAATATTTAATTGATAGTAATTTCTTCCATGATAAGGATTGAGCAATATTAAATTTATGGAAACTGAGGACGTCATCCGCTAACGTCGACGTTGCTGACCTTATTTTTGTCGCGTTGTGGAAGCGTCATCGAAGCTCATCACAGCTTAGCCTACGATTGTCATGGGATAATAAATTAATTTAATATTATTGCTCCACGTTACCCGTGAATTTTGAAAACTTATCCAACATAATTTAATTTATTTTAAGGGTAAAATACATTGATCATCCATTTAGTTCATATTACTTACAGAATTTTTTTTATCTATTTTGAAAGTGTATATAAATCTCTCTCAAAATTAAAATATATAATACACAAATTATCTTTTTATATCTAAAATTTTATTGACATCCATCCAAATCAGTAGTTAACGTCAAGTTTGATTTTAAATTATTTTTTTATCAAAATATTTCTTTTTAACTTAATAATTATTTAGGCATTTATATTTTTAAAAAATATTTTTAATAAAATCAAAAAATAATTATAATACATATATTTTTAAAATTTCTAATATGTCATAAAATTTATTAATTTCAATCTAAATCATAAAATTTTGTAATTTTAATATTTTATCATATTCATTAGAAATTATTTATTTTCATTTATTTTAAATTGAAAAAACATATTTAAAATACATAGTTTTTTTATCACAAAGTTTAGATGATATAAGTTTAAAATTTTTTATAAATTATTTAAAGTTATAATTCAAAAATTTTAAATACATCTTTCTTACAAAAACTTATAAACATATTTAGTCAAGTATATATATTTATTGAAACAATTAGTTAAATTTTTAATCAAGTCTTTTATGTTTGCCTTAACTAAATAAAATTTGAGTAACTGTAGAAATATAATTTAGAAATTTATTAGAATGAGAGATAAAATAGTAAATAAAATTTATTTTAATATGAATTTTACTTAAAAATAATATTTTTAAATTCCTTTTTAGAATATTCCTGATAGTGTTAAGTAATTGGATTAAACTGTATATTTTTAAAATAAAGAGGAGATCTATGTAATTAATATAAACCAGAGGGGTAATCAAAATACTTTAATTTAATATACTGACCCCTCAACAATTTTTGTCCGCGTAGCCACCCACTAGCTTATTTCTGAATCAAAGCATCTGAAACAGTTATAAACCATTTCAGGTCAAAAAAAAGAAAAAAGAAACAGTTATAAACCATCACATGGAGAATTTCAAATTTTAGAGGAATTAAATAATTATTCTTTCATTATTATTCAAAATCAGATTAATGTTTTAAATTCAAATTACTTTTCTAGTCCTATTTACAGGATAAAGAGAAGAGATATTTTTTTGTTCTATTTGTAAGGTATTAAAAGAAATTTTTTGCATGGATGTACAATTTTATCCTTCATTTATCATTGTATTGACTTTGTTTACATAAAGTATAATGTATATTAAATAGGGATAAAATTGAAAAGTTTTTAAAATTTAAATGAAAATTAATAAAGTTTAAGATTTTTCTTGTTTTGTGTTAAGCATGTTGAAAGTGACTTATAAAATTTTGCTGAATCAAAGCATTTGAAACAGTTATAAACCATTTCAGGCCAAAAAAGCAAAAGAAAAAGAAATAGTTATAAACCGTCACATGGAGAATTTCAAATTTTAGAGGAATTAAATAATTATTCTTTCATTATTATTCAATATTAGATTAATGTTTTTAATTCAAATTACTTCTCTAGTCCTATTTATAAAGTAGAGAAAAAAAATATTTTTTTGTTATTGTATTTATAGGGTATTGAGAGAAATTTTTTGTATGGATATACAATCTTGCCCTTCGTTTATTATTATGTTGACTTTGTTTACATAAGGTATAATGTATATTACACAATAATAAAATTGAAAAGTTTTTAAATTTTAAATGAGAATTAATAAAGTTTAAGATTTTTCTTAGTTTATGTGAAGCATGTTGGAAGTTACTTATAAATAGGACAAGAGAAGTAGATAGGTAATAAGAGAGTGCATATATAAGCACTCAAAAATATTTGCAATTATTGGAGCAAAATTAAATTGCTGATCACAGTCCAAAAAGATGCCACAAATAGTAGAAAATGATTGGAGCTAGCGTGTAACTTGCCCATTTGAAATCTATATTTAAATCGAAAGTGGGTTCCATTGATTCCGCGCTCAATTCTAATTTAAAAACAATAAATTATATTTGATTACAGTAATTCTTTTACATCAATGTGGAGAAAACCGACGATAACACCAAATCACAAATGCCATAAAGAAGGAATTTTATATTAATTCAGCCACACTTGCTTTTCTCAAAGATGCCAGTCATCCATGATGGAGACGTCTTCAATCGGTTTCGCGTGTTACTTTACAGTTCCTAGTTTAAAAAAAAAAAACAAAATATAAAAACAAAAAGGACTAATTAATTAAATTAATATAACTTAAAATATTCAACCGTGACATTTTCTCCAATAAAAACTAGCTATATATAATTATATATTACATTAAACTATGTAAAAGCAGCTTCGTCATCGCATTGTGAAATTAGCTCGAGACAACTTTATTTTCGTGTTTTTAATAATTTTCTTTGCATTGTAAAGTGATCAATAATCAACCCGCACTCGGATTAAATTAGGTTATCATACTTCAAACGAATTAATGATCTAGATGGTATTAATCTCTTTGATATTCCGATGAAATACTTATCCTTTATAATTTTCCTCCTCCTCCTCCAGTGTCCTCATACACACACATATATAATGTAATAAAGATCTAATTACGCGCACACATCTTCAGGTAAGCATATCGGTCTTTATCATCTTAATCAATCTGTCTTCATAATTAATTCAATGATAAATTATAAATTATTATCACGGACACCGGCTTGTTTTGAATGACAATTAGAGCCTTCAAAACTAACTTTTTTATCATGATTTATAGAATATATACAGGTAAATATGTAAAAAAAAAATTTTATTTCAATTTATATAAAAATACTTATATTAACTATTAAGTCGCTCCAAAAAGTAGCCACCTCTAAACGTTGACGTTTAACTCACATCGCTTTGGTAATGAATAATGATGCATATGGAAGTTGTGGGGCCAGGCATTTACAAGTTCAAAGCCGCAATAGGATAATGCCATTCATATGTGCTCAGACTCGGGGCAATTTATATATAACTTCATCTGGGGCTGATCTGGAGGGATCAAAAGCTAACTTGGCATCAGAATAACATAGCTGTCTGCAACCTCTAAAATTACTGTTAATAAATAGTATAGGAAATGGTGAGAGGTCCTTTCGTTGACGCTAACGGAGTTAAGAAAGGCGCATGGAGTGAAGAAGAAGACCAGAAGCTCATATCTTATATTCAGACCCATGGCCATCCAAACTGGCGCCAACTCCCCAAGTTAGCAGGTATTTCTTCACCTTTGATCTTATTTCATTCTAAATATATATAACGGGCGTGTGTCTTTCTGTGATACTTATATATATATATATATATATATATATATTGTGGAATTGCAGGCTTGGCAAGATGCGGAAAGAGCTGCAGGCTTCGATGGATGAACTACCTGCGACCAAATCTGAAACGTGGGAACTATACTCCACAAGAGGAGGAGATCATCCTCAAACTACACGAACAACATGGAAACAAGTATGAAATCTTATTTAGTACTTTGATTATATTTCTCACACCTCCGATTGGGGGAATTTCGAGTTTCACGGTTGTGAATCAAATGTTATATACAGGTGGTCCCTGATTGCTGAGAAGTTACCTGGGAGAACAGACAACCATATAAAGAATCATTGGCACAGCCAGCTGAAGAGGCGGTCGAGGGACAGAGGAAAGAGTGATTCTGAGGTGAAAGGCAACAAGTCAGGTCGAAGTAACAATAATAATATGACTAAGCATTCAGAATCTGATATTGTGAAGGCTGTGAGTGAGTTGAATAATATATTTGAAAGCTCATCACTGGACTGTACGGAAACGACGTCGTCGACGCAGGCGGGTCAAGACAACTCTGCTTCCTTCTTGCCTTCCACTGATACAGAATCTAGCACTAAGAATTCCCCAGAAGAATATAATAGCGGGGCTTGCCAGGAAGTTAGTAAATTCCCAGAATTTAGCGGCGATTTCTGGACTGAACCGTTTATATCAGAAGATATATACAGTGAATATTGCTATCCAAATATTGAAGGCGCCGGAGACATGTTTTCATCTGATGGCGCGCTCTTGTTTTTCTAAGCTGTCATTCTCATGAAGACGTTTAGTGGGATGATACTAAACAGATTTGGAGTTCGTTTGTTCTTCTTAATTCGTTTCGTCTTTATCCGATGAATGGCGTCTCGGAGCAGAGTATAATTAAGATCAGGATCACCAGCCACAAATTGATCAGACATGAGTATTTGTGCTGGTGGTGAATTTTACTCGATCGGTGACCTGTTCTCTCTTCTTTGTTCTTCCAGAATCTCTCCCTCCCTCTCTCTAAAACCATGTTTATTTTAGGGGTGTTTAGATAAAACCTAAACCATAATTTTAATAGTAATTTTACAGTATATGAAGTAAATATGTGAAAGAGATTATCTCGTTTTGTGAAAAAATGCTTCCTAAAAACATTTATTGGTGTACCAAACACCCTCTTAAACATGACAGAAAAACTCGAATGAGCGGAGGAAAAAAAAACGCAAGACAAGTCTAATATTCCCTCCAATTCCATGGAGCCAATTTGGGTAGACACCTGCGCTGATCAATCTGTATTATTTATAATGATTTAGAATTGATTTTTTTTATTTTTTTATCCAAAATAATTATTTTAGGCTAAAGTATATTTTTGTTTTTTAACTTTATACAAAGTTTCAATTTGTTCCCTTAATTTAAAAAGTATACTTTTAATCTTTTAATCCTAAAATTTTTTTAAAAATAAAAACATTAAGATCTTAAATGTTGATAAAATATTTTTAAATGCTAACATATTAAGTTTAATTTTCAAAATATCCATGATTGTTACAAAAAATCATCTTCAAATCCTGATGATTTTAGGGTTAAAGGATCAAATGTATACTTTTAAAGTTAAGGGACTAAATTGAAATCTTATAAAAAGTTAAAGGATCAAATCTATATTTTAGCCATTATTTTAATATGTATAGAATCTATAACAGAGATAATCTTTTAACTATCATTTTTAAAAAATATTTTTTTATTTAAAAATAATTAATTAAAGACTTTAAATTTAAATTCTTCAAATTAGATATAGATGGTCCAGATATAATGAGTTTAAAATGCTTATTAAGAGAATAAGCATTGAAATTGATTCCTTAATTCTAGACGTAGAAGCCAGTTTTTTTTTTTTTTTTGGGCCAAAGAGATGTAGAAGCTAGTTAGAAGATTTATTTTGATACTAAATATATAAATGTAGCCCCCTCCCCAAAAAAAAAAAACCATCTTTATTTTAATCATGACAGAAAAACTCGAATGCGTAAATCCCATCCCTGACCATAAAACAAGCTTAATAATTTTAAACTCAGTGTAATGGACCATGGGGATATGGAGAAGAAAGATGCACTACCGTTTATCAACATTTTTTTCAAAGTTTAGTATTCCTCCAATTCTAGACGTAAAATCTAGTTGAAAGATTTATTTTGACACTAAACATATATAAATATAAGATCTTAATTTTTTTTCTTTAATTTCTTTTCTTAAAATATAAAGGATTCTTGTAAGTTGGTAGTACTCGACATAAGTGATAAAAAAGATATTTTAAGAAAATTAATTTGTATTTTTCACAAATTAATAATTCCATTTTTTTAAGTAATTAAACATTTTTATATTTAATATTGAATGAAGAATTATGCTTGATTGGGTAAAAAAGAGAGGAGAAATTTTAATAAGGCGGTAAGAAATTATTATAGGGAAAGGGGGCGAAGAAGAGCAGCATGGAACCTCTCCTATTCTTTCCCATCCTCTTTTCCGATTTTTTTTTTTTTTGGACTCAATCCTCTTTTCCGATTGTGATCGTTAATTTGACCAAAGGACTTGAAACCAGCTCCCTTGATCATAACAACGTGGTTTTGCGGAGTCTTTTTCAGATTTAGAAGCGCCCGTGATTCAGCCCTTCGCTTGTAGTATTATGTGTAAGCATTACTCTGGCTTTCTAGCTTTGATCTTACAGGGGCGCGCAATCCTAGAGCTTCGTAGTGTCTATCATTGATAAATTCTTTACAAGGATTGAATTGAACAAGCAAGTGTATCATGGACAGATTGAGATATAACTTTCTCTGGTTTTGAAACTGAAACACCCAACTTTGCATTTGCCATTGACGCAAAAAATAAATGGAAAAAAAAAAGTGTTGAGAGAAAAGAAAGTTAGTTGAAATAGCCCCTAGATGAGTTGTAGTGTAAATTACACTGTGGTATCTCCTTAAGCTTCTTTTTCATTTTTATCCGATGGCAAGCACATTTCATTTCAATCCATTTTAATAAATACTTTAAACAACAATTTAATCTTTTACATTTACGAATTCGATGTGAAATTGAACCAAGAGATCGTGAGTATGTACGATGCTCGTACTTAATAATTACATTTTTTTAGACCTCCTTTTAAATTTTCGCTATGATTTTACAATTTGGAATTTTATTTTGGAACACTAACTTCTAAATTGATTGTAAAAAAGGACACTTTATTGAAAAGATTTATTACTAAATGTAAAAATATCTGTTAAACCCAATTTGCTTCAAAAAGTGTGGTTTTGAATAAAATGGTTCAAAACCTTAAGCCCAGAAGCCCAAGCCACGCAACAACAGCAAACTGCAAACATCGAAATTGAAACTAAAACAGAGTCCAGTAGATCATATCAGCTATTAAAACAAGCGATGCTTTGACATGCGTGCAGGCCCCGGGGGGGGGGGGGTTTGTATCAATTAAAAAATATTGATAGTGATTAATTGGATTTGAAATAAATATTATCAAAAATAATTAGACATAACAGAATTAAGATACATACCCTATCCTTTATGTGTTATTGTCGCCTAAAGAACTGAAATGTCCCTGTGATGAGTGTGGATTAGACTTCAGGTGCTTCATATATAACTGTGGGAAACCACTAAATTTAAAATTTTGATGAAACTCCTCTTCTCAGTTTCCTGTCCAATTTGCATTACTAGTTGCGATGATAATGAAAGCACAAAATAAGAATATTTTTACGAGTGAGCCACACAAATGATGGATTTAGCTTAGGTGTATCAAATCTAGACCATTCATATTCAATGTAATTTTATTTTTGATATTTTTAATAGTTTAATATTTTGATGTTTACCGAATTTAAAATAAAAATATTTCTTAACTATTTGTTTTTTAAAATAATTTTTTATTTAAAAACCATCTATTGAAAATTTTAAATGTAGAACAGTGAAATTATATTGAAACGGTACAATTAAATCTCACCACTGTAATGAGTATTATAATGTTCATCCTTATGACGATGGACGAGCATGGAAATTAGTTTTCACAAATGTTTCCATTTGTTATTTGTATATTTCACAAACTCGCGAAATAGGGAGGATGCTAATTAACACATAATAATTCATGTCTTGATCAAGCCCTACAATGGTTTCATTCCTCGTCAGTCTCCTCCATTACAGTCGTGTGAATCTATGTACATGTGCGTGCGTGTGTGTGTATTTATTCAAACATAATTTCCAGTGAGGCTTTCTGAGTCTTCGCAGCGTAATAAAGTCTTCGGCTATTTTTCAAATTACTATCGTCCAGCCAGAACATATTTAACGGCTGAAATTAATTTCGTATCAAGACTTCGCATGTATATATCCCAGATTTGAATATGTCAAATACGTTGGCACAAAAAACAAAACAAAAAAAGAATATGTCAAATGCAAGAATTTATTAAAAAGCAGGTCGGAACAAAAGAATGGCTGTTCAAGTGTGCAGGGTCTGTTATTTATTCATCCATCATATATTTAATTATTCTCTGTGATTTGATATTTGGAAGAGTAATAGTAGAAAGGCACTGGAAAGTGATTTCTTAAAAAAAATTGGAATCGAGAATTTTTTTTTTTTAAATTCTTTCATTCATTGTTTTCCGATCTAAACATATTCTTAAAAAATAAGAGAAGATTTGAATTTCAATAAAAATTTTCAAAATGATCAATGAACACATGACAAATAAAAAAGGTAACTTTTTTTTCCTCAGAAGATCGATTTATAATGTTTTTACTTATAAAATTTGTTATACATATTTTTATTAAGCAAACTGGCAACAGTTATCAAAAGTGTAATAATTCGTCGTCTTGATTTTTCTCATGCATGTTTAATTATTCCCATTCGGTTCCCTGAAAACACCCCAAATCCTAACCACTGCGTCAATCTGGAGTCAACCCTAATTGCAAAAAAGGATGCGTGTGAATGTAGAATGAACAAAGTTTTGATTGAAACCACGGAGTCAAAAGTTAAATACAAGATGTCGTTTTAAAATGTCTAATTGTACAGAATCGGTATCTTTTTAATTAAAAGATAAGGGCAGACCTAAAAGTAAACAGTATCAAGTAAGACTCTCTCGCTTTGTTGACTTAACTTTATTCGTCAAGCAACCAATCCTGATCCATTCTTACCAACACTTTGCACTCTTAATACCCCACAGGAAAAATGACCACCAAAGGAAAAGCGACATTAAGGGTCTGTTTGGGTGACCTCAAAATCATGGTTTGGGAGGCAAAACTATAGTTTTGGTAAAATATTACCCAAACAACATCAATTTTGGGCCAATAATCTGAAACCATGGTTTGGGTCAAAACCATGGTTTTGGAATCTAAAACCATGGTTTCAGGAGAAGTGAATTCATTCTGCTTCTAGCTCAAATTGGAGAGATGATTGTGCCTGTCAGAGTAGATCTCAATAATAATATGACTTTAACATTTCTCAATTATTTTTTATAAACATATTTAACCTTATATCTTATAAACACATATACACATATTAATTATTTATTAATTACATTATCTTATGTATTATTAATTATGTTGGTAAAAAATATATTATTAACAATTTTATTCCTTCAAATTAAAATATATCATAAAATTTATTTTTATATAATTATCATATTAACTTATGTTTTTTTAGTAACTTGTATATATAAAAAGTACTTTTGATAACAAACACTCTCACTTCTCAGAATCACTTTTTTACAAAATCTATTCTTCACAGAATCTATTTTTTTTCAAAATCTATTCTCTAAAAACTATTCTTTAAACCATGGTTTGGTTTCATCCAAACACACTGGGAATTTGCCATGAAATTTGAAAGCATACCCGTGCTCTTAGGCACGTGTTGCTAGCTAAGGCTTCAGTGTATCACTGATGAGTGGAGCCCGATGTTCTTATATATATACATGGGCGTGGGCTGCCTTCTGTAAGTGTATATGTTCCCATATTTGAAGTCTTGTCTGAGAGAGCCAAACAAGTTTGGTAATATACATAGGCGATGACGAGAGGCCCTTACTACGACAAAAATGGAACAAAGAGAGGTGCGTGGAGCAAGGAGGAGGATGAAAGGCTAAGAGCATATGTTGAGAGATACGGCCACAGTAATTGGCGTCAGCTCCCCAAACAAGCAGGTATATATATACACATACTCGAACTTGTTGGGCAAACTTGAACCAGATTTTGAGTATGCACTACTCGGTGATGGCCATGATGATCTCTTTATTCTGTAATTTCCACTTAAGCATGAACCAACCTGTCTTTTAAGGAAACAAAGGTTGGGATGGATATATATCTTCATGGAGTTTCATCTGCATTATTTTACAGGTTTATCAAGGTGCGGAAAGAGTTGCAGACTTCGATGGCTAAATTACCTGCGCCCGCATGTAAAGCGGGGGAATTACACCCGAGAAGAAGACGAAATCATCATCAAATTACATGAACTACATGGAAATAAGTAAGCATATGCATTCCCATACTGGCATCAATCATTTTCTCTCTAACATGTATTTGCAAATCTGGGAACACGAAGAGTTTTTCATTTTCACTTGAAAATGGCTTATTAAAGTATGGAAATTAAGTTAGAAGATCGAATTTTATTTTCCTAAATTTCTTCGTTGTGATGAAAAGAGTTATGAAGGAAACAATGCAGTCTTTAATTAAAAGCGTATGATATTATTTCATACTATCTCCAGTTTTCAATATGAGAAACAGTTGGAGGTTGAGTTTAGTCTTAAATATAAAATGTTCATTGATTTGTTTCCCAAATCTATAATATTTCATCTAAAATATCCCTATTAATTGTAAGAGTTCCTACTAAAAAATAATTTCGATACACATACATGATTAAATAGGATAGTTTATAGAAGTCAACACATATTCGTTACAATTAACCAACTGAACTCATTTTCTTAATCTTAATTAGTTATATAAACCTTATATATAAATATATATCATATCTGATATTTATACTTGTAATATATATATATGTATATATATCTCGTTGCAGATGGTCTTTGATTGCCGGAAGTTTACCAGGGAGAAGTGACAACGAGGTTAAGAACCATTGGCATAGCCACTTAAAGAAGCAGTTGGAGAACAATCGCGGGGGAAAATCTGAGTTGAAAATGAAACCTAGTGGTACTTGTGGGGGAGAAACTACAAAGCATTTTGAGCCTGAAAACCCTTTGCTTGGTTTTGGTGCTGCTTCTTCCGGCAATATTATCTCAGAAAGCTCATCATCATCCAGCTACAATTCATTTTCAACCTTTGACTTCGGAGAAGAAAATGTTGCTAATGCTGCATGGGGAACATTTGAAGAGTTCGGAGATTTTTGGACCCAACCATTTGTCCCAGAAAATATATATGAGCAGGATAGCTATTATATTCTGAACCACGCAGCAAATGAAGCAGACGTGGATGTGTATTCTTCATACCTCTTCGATAATGCTGAGTTTTTGTACCAAGTGATGCAAGAATTTCCGGAAGATGCTACGAAGGATATATGAGCAAATAATTAGTGCATTAAATTAAACATGGCATGATGCAGATATTGCTGGTCAAAGGTGAAGATGGCTAGCAAGCTATGCAGATATAGGAGTGTCAAAAAAGCAACAATTTCCTTTCTATTTCCTGCAACACAACAAATTTGCAATTTCGTCTGTGTAATGATAATCATCCTAGTAATATATAAATGTGTGTGGCCATGCCTGCTTGTCTTCTTGCAAACTCATTTCATCATATTGATCACGGTTCTGACTGTATAAATTTCCGCATACTTGCATCTATGTATAAAATCCTACTTTGTGAATCTGTGTGTGTAAAAAATCGTGGTCAGAGTCTGTACATATTTTCATACGAACATATATACATATATAAATTTTTGTCCTTTAATCTAAATCCAGACGTCCCGAAGAATGTCCTTGCTTAAACCAAAAAAGAAGCGCACACAGAGATGAACAACACAAGGGTTTCTTTTTTCGCCAATGAAACATAAAGGGGAATAGAAATTAAACTCACTAAAAGTAAATCAGCCTTCCACCTTCAGCCATGGAAATGCCACGGGGGAATTATTTGAAGATGGAAATCGCCGATTTTTAACAATCAGTTGCCCCAGAAGTTACAGACACGAGTACGTCGACACCGGCCAGCGGATCTGCGTCCTTGCCATCTATTGATACAGAATCGACCACCAAAAATCCCACCCAGAAGAATGTAGTGGCGATTTTTGGACTGAACCATTTATATCAGAAGATATACAAAATACAAAACAGACTGGAATTCGATCTCTCTCCTCCCGTGTGTGTGTGTGTGTTTTCGCCCTTTCCATTTTCGCGTTTCCAAGAATAGCATAAGATGATCGCCAGCCTTTAGGACATTAGTATCTTCTGTGCGAGTTTTGAATTTCATTCGGCGACCAGTTTTCTGGTTTTCCACAACGTGATGCGGCCGACGAGCATTGAGGCAACAATCAATGAGTTTTTTTGGTTCTTTCTTTTTTTGGGTTTAAAGTCAAGTTTCTTTAATTTTCACTGCGGATAAACTCAAACCCCATGTCCCTAAATGGCGGGCAATAATTTTAAAATAAATATTAAGCACAAACCGGCAAAGATGCGTGTATCATTTAGTACCCTAGGTTTATTAAGTTTTATATTTTAATTTTCAAGATCACAGCGAGTTAAATAATGTTGGTAAAAAAGTGAGTTAAAAATGGAAAATAGTAAATTTCTTACTCAAAAGCATACTTTTTTTTGTCATCAAAAGCTACATAGTATTATCAAGTATCAACTGTCAAGTTGTTGATTAGTCTAATGATTATAACATATCTTGAAGATGTTGAAAATATTAAATGATGTGCTGGTATTAAAAAAAGAAAAAGAAAAATATTAAATGATGCGAACGAATAGGGTGATTTAATGACAGCTGTTTATCTTCCTTTAAAGTTTTTTGTTGAGAAAAAGATGTATCACTTTTTTTGAGAAAAAGATATATCAGTTAACAGTTAAAATTTTTAAATTTATTCCCGCGTTCATAAGGGATTTCTTTTCCTTTTTGGGGCTTTGCATTAAATAAGATGTTGGAATTTTGGAATTTTGAAAAAAAATGCTTAAGATCCATAAATAATTATATTTATTTTCTATTTGTAATCTCTATCTCTCACACGCATACGGAATTTACCATATATATGCATTTACTCTCCTCAGTGTAAGATCACCAACTTGTAATTTGATTATTAAAGAATATTTCCCTCAAAAAATTTATCAAATGCAAAATATTCATACAAAGGAAACATTTCGGAAGACTTACCCAACAAAACCTATATTTCCCCCCTTTTGGGAACAAAACATACTGCTTTCTTTAAGCGTGAATTTAAAGGAAACAGTTAAAAACATTAAGCCCAAAATCCCAAGCCATGCAACAGATTGAAATTAAATAAATTGAATCGTGTCTGTGATATATACTCATTAAGTTGTTAAACATATAATGTTTGTGATTTCAGGAAGAACTACTTTTACATGTGTATATATGCAAGTAGCGTTTATATTATGACCTTCAAGAAGAACTCCTTTCACATGTGTATATATGCAAGTAGCATTTATATTAATATTAATGAAATGGAAAATGTGCCCATAGGTAGTCACTAGCCGGACCCGGCACTCTCATATCAAACGTACAAATTGGTTTCTGGTTTCGTAAGTTATGCACCAAAGCAGGGAGGAAAGCAAAATGCATGCATATTTCACGAGGCAGACACACAATAATCTACAACAATACAAATCAGATTCCCTTTTGCTTTCTATTTCTCGATCACTAAGTCACCAAATAGGGCGTAATCTTTCAGTTTCTGCTCTTTCATACCTAATCAAGTCCAAAGATTGTTTCCCTTCTCTCACCCATTTCCTCCATTTGCTCAAGTCATGTGAAACGAGCATGTTATTCAAATGATGTATAGAACGAGGCTTGCTAACTCTTTGAACAGAACAGAGACAAGAAACTTTCTTTTCTTTATTATTTATGACATATTCAAATTTAAAGGCTGAAACTAATTTCATGACTAGAGTTCGCTTTTGTGTGTGTGTATCTAAGATTTGAATATGTCAAATGCAATAATTTATGCAAAAATGGAGTCTCAGCTAAAGAAAGGTGTGTATCATCTTTTTTCCAATGATATGATTTATGAAATTTTCATTTATTTTTTTGGGAAAATCCTATAAAAGAAACCTGACATCTACTAAATTCCAAATTGGGGATTCCTACAAAAATGTGTTATTATTTACAAGTCAAGTTTAGTCAAAATCGATTAAAATATAGAAAACAGTCCTAATTTGAGATTTAGTACATTTCAAGTTTTTTTTTTGGTGGAGATTTTCCCTGCATTTTCCCCCCTCAATTTTAACTCTTCCAGAAGATTGGTTTATAAAGTTCTGTTAAATCTTTATATCCTTATATTCTGCAAACTGATAACAATTAATTCCAACGTATGAAACCCTAACCATCTCGTCCAGCTGAAGTCTACCTTAATTCCACGGTGAAGGACTTCGAAGGATTCTTCTGGCAGACGAAGTTTTTGACTAACCGTCCACGAAGTCAAAAAGCTTTGTATGATATATATATGTAAGTATATAAATTGACCAATTACATGCTGATGAATTTTTATAAAAGACCTGGCCCGGCCGAAGCCCCCAGCTGTATCAATTTCTTTTTTCGCAAGTGACCAATTTTGATTCATTTCTCATAACAACACTTTGCACTCATAATAATAGCCGACCCAGAAAGAGAACAACCAAAAGTAAAGGTGACAGACAGTGCTTCTTCTCGTTCAAAATTATACACCTATATTTTATTATTTGTTAAATTGCTAGGGGAATTTTCCATGAACTAGAAAACATACCCATATTTCTTTTAACGTGTTTCCTAATCTTATTGCTCTCTAGGGCTTCAGTATATTGAGTGAGCAGAGAGGTTCTCAACTCTCTCTCTCTCTCTCTCTCTCTATATATATATATATATATATATCTGTGCGAGTGTGTGTTGCCTTAGCTTCTATGTGTATAGGTTTCAATATTTGAAATCAGGTTGATCTGAGATAACCAAATAAGTTTAGTATATATATAATTTATATAAATAGGTGATGGTGAGAGGCCCTTACTATGACAAAAATGGAATAAAGAGAGGTGCGTGGAGTAAGGAAGAGGATGAAAGGTTAAGAGCGTATGTTGAGAGATATGGCCACAGAAATTGGCGTCAGCTTCCCAAACACGCAGGTACATATTTGCTTGAACTTGTTAACCAAACTTGCACCAAAAACCAACATGTTGGTTTCAACATTATTAGGTTTAGTTTCTAGTTAAAGAAATACTAGTTGGGATGGATCTTGATGGAGTTTCAGCTGGAATTATATTTACGTTCAGGTTTATCAAGGTGTGGAAAGAGTTGCCGACTTCGCTGGCTAAATCACCTTCGTCCGGGCGTAAAACATGGAAATTACACCCAAGAAGAAGAGGAACTCATCATCAAATTGCATGAACGGCTTGGAAATAAGTAAGCATATGTTACCTCTGACATAAGTTCTTCCATATCTATTCCGGTTTTTTGTTCATCAATGGTTTTTCCTCAACATATATTGCAAATCTAGAAACACGGACATATTGGGTTTTCTAGGTATCTCAGTCGTTAATCCCTTCGTTACACATGCGTGATCTTCAACGCTAGTTATATAGCTAGATCTAATAATATTCAAGTTCAATAAGTTTCGTTTGTTTGTTTATATGTCTCTTTGTGATGATCTTTTTCATTTCCCTTAACATGGCTAGGAAAACTTGGGAAAAGTTAAAGGATGAAGATGTTTTGATTTTCACTTGAAAATACTTTCTTAACGTGTGAAATCTAAGTTGGATGGTCGAGTTCTAAGTTTTTTTCCCTTTAGCATTGCTGATAGTGTAATTCCTTCATCGGCATGAAAAGAGTTACGAAGGAAAAAAATGCAGCCTTTAATTAAAGGTCAAAGAATCAATTGACTTTCCAGTTCAAGTGCTTTAAACATCAAGTAGACGTAAGATGATTTCATATGTATCCGGTATGTACCTAACATATATCTAACATATGTAATATTATTTGTCGTCGTAGATGGTCTTTGATTGCCAAAAGATTACCAGGGAGAAGTGACAACGAGGTTAAGAACCATTGGCATAGCCACCTAAAGAAACAGTTGGAGTGCAATCATGCGGAGAAATCTGAGTTCAAAATGAAGGCTGGTGGCACTTGTGAAGGAGAAACAGCAAAGTGTCTCGAACCTGAAAACCCTCTGCTTGGTTTTGTTGCTGCTTCCTCCAGTAATATCTCAGAAAGCACTCCGCCCATCTACAATTCATCTTCAACCTTTTCCTTTGGAGGATCAACCGTTGCTAGTGCTGCATGGGAAATAGTTGAAGAATTCGGTGATTCTTGGACCCAACCATTTGTCCCAGAAAATATATATGGCCAGGATAACTACTATTTTAGTCTGAAC